TAATATGGGAGTGGTATTTCATTTTGCATTTGTGATGGTTGATACGAGTGTGCAGTCATTGGATTTTGTTGTTGAATTGGTTGAAAAGATTGTGTATTAATTGGATTTTGTTGTTGAATTGGTTGTTGATGTTGTGCATCTATCGGTTGTGGAGAAAAATTTCTATGATTTGTACGTGTTTTCTGTATTCCTTGTCTACGATATTCTTGAGTATTTTGTGTAAATATATCTGGTTGTAAGAAGTCATCATCTGAGGATAAATAATCCATTTGATAAGATGTCTGTTTTTTATTTTTATTTTGTTGAAAAAATGGGTAATTTTCACTGTGATCCTGTGGAGGATTTGTTTTGAAATTTATTGAATTAGATTGGGTCATTGGGTTATCCCAATTTCGAGATCTTGTATATTGGTTAAAATTTCTTTGTGGTTGATTATATGTTTTTGATGGATGTGTATAATTATAATTATGGTCTGCAAAGTTGTTTCTAGTGAATATTTTGCGTGTTTTTGATGGTATTGTCATGGGTCTATATGTTTGGTAATCCATATGTGAATATTTTGGAGCAACCGAAGGTTTAACGGTTGATTGTAAGGTTACCTGTGTTTGTGAAGGATTTGTATTTCTTGGTGTTGTTAAATTTGGGCGTATTGGTGAAATACTTTGTTGTGTAGTTGTTGTGTGTACAATTTCTTCATTTATGAAGTGTGATGGTGTCTGGATATCTTGTTGAGTAAGATTCCTAGTTCCATTGAGGTTTTCGTTGTGTATGACTGTAGAGTTTAAACTATTATTTTGTGTATCGGGTAAAAATGTATTATAGTTTAATGGTGTTGCATCAATTGTTAATGGTATTACTCTTACGTAATCTCTTATGTAAGATATTGTACCTATTGCTTGACTTGAGATTGATTGTGGAAAGCTTATAAATGCGGGATGAGACCATTCGGGGTCCCAAACATAATCTGATTGTTCTGTGATAGCGGTATCATCGTTCGAATTTTGGGGTCTAAAATTTTTTCTTGCTTGTGCAATTAAATCAATATTGTGTGTGAAATAATCTATTATGAACCATGCCAAAATTTTTTGTAAATCGTGTTTGGTATGTTGTGAAACGTCGTCTTTCGTGAAATTTTCTTTAATGATGTTTAAATAACTAGAGAGTAGTGTGATTTCATGTCGTACTCTTAAATGTTTAGATGTTTCTGTCGGTGAGACATTTGTTAATGGGATTTCGTTTTCTAATATCGAAATATAACTATATATTATTGCGAAAACTTCATTGGTGAATATGGAGTTTGCTCTTTGTGAGTTATGGTATTGGATGCTTTTTATATATTCTGAAAAAACTTTTGAAAATTCTAAATCAAGATCGTCTGTTTGAATTGTATATTTTCTATTATTATGGTTTGGTGAGGTGAATTCTATGGAGTAGATTCCATACTGTTGTGTTATGTTGCATATATCTTTTAGATAGTGATCTATGATTTGTCTTTTGATTTTTACATCGGGGAACTCTGTTTTACATGGACTGATTCCGGGTTCAAATAAATTTACGAGTAAATTTTGACAAAATATGTGTTGTCCTCTATCAGTATCTGCGTCTACTATAAAAGGAAAGATTTCATCATCATCTGGAGTTTCGTCACCTGGGGTGTGCGTTGAACTCATTTTTCCGTTCGATGACTGTTAATATGTAATTATTAATGTGTCGAATTGGTTGATTCCAATTGTATAAATGTACTGGTTTGTGTTTGTACTGCTTTTTTATTCTTCTTTTTCCTCTTTGTGATGAATTTGAAGTTGTTTCTGAGTCAGAGAAATATAATTGATCGTGAAGTGGGTAATTTTTATCTATTGATTCTTTTAGTTTGTAAAGTTCGTCTAAACTGTTGGTTTCTGATTCTGAAAATGCGTTGCGATTTTTTGAAAATCTTTTTCGTGTTATTTGTCTTTGTTTAGTTATTATTTTTCTCTTTAGTGTTTGTCGTTTTGTTCGAATGTATCCAACTGTTTGTGTATGAGGTGTGATTACAAGGTCGTATTTTTTATTATCTATTTCACAATTGTGTAAAATGATTGTTTGTTTATTTCCTAGGTTTTTAAATGACATAAGGTTTAGGATGACGGATGCAAAAGGTTGTTAAATGATTTCTATTTTCCTAAACTGTTAGTTCTTACGATTTTTTGGTTAGCTTAACCTGGGTCTATTTGTTCAGGGTTGGAGAGAAAAGTATATCGATTCCGAAGAATGATTTTTACTTTCTCGTGACTAGTATAAGCTAAGGTGTTAACTTACTTAATCTTACTTAGGGGTAGTGATTGTGTTCAAGGGTTGGAGAATAGTAAATCGATCCACAAGGTTCAGGTATAATTAGAACGCGAGTAGTTCGTTAGATACTATTTTAAACTTACTAAGTCTAAGATTTATCCTGGGTCTGGTAAGAGGGGGGGTCAAGTGAAGGATGATTAACCGAAGTTCTTCACTGTTTATCCTAATTTGAATGATTAGTTTTGTTTAAAAATTTCTATTAGTCTTGGGTCTTTAGGAAGGGTTGGGTAGTGAATCGACGTTTGAGGTCGTTAGACACTAATTAAGTGGGTGGGGGAGAACAAAGTTGTTCTGTTTGATCCAAGGATAAGCCTTGATGATCAAATTTGAAATTTAATTAAGTAGAAAATGATTTAAGATCCAAGGATAAGCCTTGATGATCTGGTTTTAAAATTAAGTGACTTTAAGTTTTAATAAAATTTTAGATGTGTGTAAAGGAAAGATTTAGTGTTTTGATGATATTAGTGAGTTGATGATTGCTGTTATGTTTTAGGTGATGAAGCTGGAACAACAAGATGATTTATGATTACTAACCATTTATTGTCATGCTACTAATTTTTATTTTTATTTTCCAATAAATATTTTTCAAACATGTTTTGTATAATACTGCAGAGTTTTAGGAAAACGATCTTAGATCTTTTTATCAATCGTTATTGTATAATATTAATTTTGTTTAGCGCCTGAAATGATTTTGAAGATTAACTTCAAGGTTTTATGTTTGCAAATGGAAATCTAAATTCATTGCAAGTAGTATTCGAAATATAAAAGTTTGTTCTGGCTTTTGCCGAACTATCATATAACTATACGGCAAGTTTCTACTTTGTCGTATGTCGTCTTTGGTTCGATGTCTTCTTCCAATTCCGGGTAGTTCTATTATGGTTCGGAATATTGGCTCTGATCTATTGAGTCGGAGAGACATTTCAATTAAATTATTGTCGTATAACATTTTGTAAATGTTTTTGTCTAATTTCTAATCTATTTTTGGTTAATTCTAAGCTATTAAGGTCTTGTTCGAGACTTATGGTCGCACCAGATGAGTTAGGACCGAAGTGTAACTCATAGAGTAATTTCGGATAGGGTACACCGTCTGCTCGTCACGCTATCTTATTTTCGGCCGGATAGATTCGTGCAACTTCTTAGTCTAATACCGATCCTAATCTTACTCTTATACTATCTAGTCTCAGGTTGTTTAACTAGTCTCTGCTAGGCTCAATAGATCTAGGGTATACTGGTTTATTGCGGCTGCTGAAGTGCTCGGGAGAGTCCAACTAATTTCTAAGTTAAATTCAAATCTCTCTGGTGCTGAAATTACAAGTAACTTCAGCACTTACAAATAAGTGGGTTGTTAGTTAGATGGATCATGATTGGTTAATATTAAATACTTTACATTGGTAAAACATTTAATTTATCCAATCATAAAATGTAGTTTAGATCAGGTTCCACAAAGTAGTAATGACATAATGATGACTCTTATCTTGATGACTGTTTTTTTTTTACTCTAATCCTATTCTCAAACTCTTAAAGAATTTAAGCTATAATAAGCTTAAGCTTGTTTGTTAAGTGAGTCAACAATTGTGAAAAAAAACTGTTTGATTTAGGTAAATAATTTTTGCGTTTTGTTTTAAAACCCTGTTGTCTAAAAATTCATATTATAAAGCCCAATTTATGGTGAAATGATTATCATACATATTTCATAAATTAAATTCGTATGCTTACCAGTTTCGTCAAAGAACTCATGGAGGGAATTGTATGACAAGCAATTTTTTGCATGGACTCATGATAAGTATTTATATGCATTGAAGTCAACCTGGTAAAGCTTGGTTTAATTTAACAGTTGCATTCTTGCAGTTTTCCGATTTCATTGAGTGGTTGTTAACTCAGAACGATATTGAAAATGGTGCTTCCAATTTTTATTACTTTTTGTCGAAAATCGATATCTAATTAATTTTAAAAAACTTTACAATTATATATTAACAATTGAACCAACTATATTTGAACAAATTTTTGTAAAATATGTTTTCAGTTGTTTCGTTGGTACTGAAGCAATCCGAAGTACAAAGTGGTGGCCATATTAAAATTTCAATTTGTGTAAGAATTTCTGATGATTGTTCTCTGAGTTTTTACTAAAAATACATAACTTTCAGCTACGGTTTTAAACTCAGATTGTGTTCGGTTTTTTTCATATTTCTCCTGTTCTGAGTTTACCAGAATGTGTTTTCATATTAAAACTACTCATTTTCCATAAATTGCCCAACTTATGGGGCGAGCTCCTCAGTTACGGGGAACTTGGAAATAGGTACTTGCCGTTGTTTTATAAAGGTCGATAAGAACCTTCAGTATGTTAAATTTACACAATTCAAAAGAATGACGCTTTGTATGGTCGCACATTTTTTGTATCTTGTTAAATATCCCCCCTCCCCATGGCACCTTGTAACGAAACCCCCCCCCCCTCTATAAAGAAAGAATTGAACAGTTAAGCGTATACGAGTTTTGTACCTTGTTAAGTGTCCCCCTCCCCTATTGCAATAGTTAACAAGGTGGGAATAGTTAACAAGATCCCTTTTTTCTACATTTTTTGAATAACTCCAAAAATTAGGTACATAGACATTTCATAGAGGCTGGTAAAAAAAATGTAGTTTAAACGGTATATTCACAGTCAACATTATCAGGTGACTGCTGGCGATTTCGACCTGCAGACTAACATTCCTGACTTTGCAATCGACACTGGCCATTGCTTAGTGAGAGAAGTGATTGTTGAGGATGGCGTGGTGCAGGGATCTTTCGAACCAGCTATTTTTTCAACAGGTTAGTTTTTTTTCATTTGAAGTTATAAAGGTTAGTTCTTTTTTCGTTTTGAAATCACCCAACCGCTCCTTCTTTGGTATACTTTGCATCCAATTTAGCTGGCCGTCATTGAAATTCTTCCAACTTCCCTTTAAAATATCTGCAGAAGTTTTTTTAATCTAATAAAATAAAAAAATGATCTTTTTCAGTTTTTTAATTTTTGTTGTCAGGTCCTCCCATCACATGCAATTTCAAGTTCAAAACGTCATATTTCTCATGTAATAGCAAGTAATTCGGAACAACTCAGTTTGGACTGATTTTGCTCGTCGAATACGCTACACGACAAATTATAACAGGTGAATATTGCATTAACTATTATCTCAGAATATACGACCTATCAACTTTCAATTTTCAAAACTCAATAGTATTACAAAAAAGGGTCCCACGAGAAATAATTATTGAATGCTGAGCTGAAGTCATCAATATATGTCGGATGGTTTTAAAAATGACGGCAGTGATATAAAACTTTCAACTGGGATATAACTCGACAATGTAGAAATCTCTAGTCACACATTCCCTGCACTACTCTCGCTCAATTTCGTACGAAAAACTATTATATACAACTGAACACGAACCATAATAGAAAACCATAATAGCTCATTGCTTGTGTCAAATTCCATACCTTTTTCTCGTTGTTCTTTTCTGATGCTTCACATTTGAAAATGTACTTTTCAGCGCTGAAACATCAAAAAATCAACGCTAAAATATTGCCGAAAAAAACTTTCCAGGAAAAAAACTGAAGCAACTAAGAGAGTTTGTAATAGTATAATCAGGGTCATAGCCGGTTATTTGGCTTATTTCGAACTATCCGATCAATTGCTCCTATTATCTGATGATCAAGTTATAACGCGGCTGAAATTTTCCGTCATTGCTTCAAATGTTAAATCAATGAGCCATAGGTATCTGAATTTTTTACAAAAAAGTTGTTCTCACTCTTTACCTTTTACAGACATAAAGAAAACCCAGGACTCTTAAATTAATTTTACTATTACTTAGACCTTTTTGAAGCTACCCCCAGTGCTATAAGACGTCGGATGAGTCGGGATTCTCGGAAATTGTTGAACTGCCTGAACAGTACTGACAGCTTTTGAATTTCCAGCTACTTCCCGAATTAGTACCAAAAAAAAAAGAAAATACTGCAAAACTCGAATACATAAAAAAAGTCGAATACATAAATCTCAAAAACATAACAAAGCTGCTTCGATTATTAAAACCAGCAACAAATCAATTATGGCAAATAAGCTTCTTTCAACCAATTTGGAATGAGTTCTAAGAGAGATTAACTCTCCGCTTACGCGTTAATAGTACGATATATATCGCGCGTTAATTATCCCAAATTGGCCAAAAATGGCAATCTTTAAACCCCTGTAACTTTATGAAAAATGGTCACAGGTAAAATATCTTTTCAAATTCGAGCTCAGGACAACAATACCTTTCGAATGATAAAAAAAATTCCGTCAAAAACCGCTAGTTAAAAAATCAAAATTTGTCTGAAGAAAAAAAAACCCACCCCGAGCACAAATATTCCGTTACTTTCGTATCGTAAGTTGAAACAATAACTTAACTGAACGAATAGTCGAAATGATAGATTCAAGGGAGTAGTCGAGCATTTAAAGGCTAAACTTCTTGCAATGATAATCAGCAAACCGAAATTGTCCTTAAACTCAGCAATCGATATGTTCATTTGAAAACTTAGACTTCCTAACATTTTTGAAAAATCGTAGTCTCATACTTGTTTAACTTAGAAAAAGAACAGTCGATCATATCAAGCAATAGAGCACTTCAATGTGCGGAAAATGACGCAATTGAAGGCGGTTATGACTTCGAAATCCCACCGAAGAGAAAAGCTATCAAAATAACCCAACGTACAAGGCGAGAAACATCTAAACTAGGAACACTCTATCGGGTCCGTTCTCAAAAGGAGGTAATTGATTTAGAAAAACTGTTAATCGGAAATGGACAGTCCCACTTTAGACCATTAAAAGGCAAAGTTTTCAACTCAATGAAGCACACGGTAACTCTTGACAACGGACACATCTTGCGGAAGATCGGCGCAGCATTCAGAATCCAGAACAGTCCTACTCCGAGAAAATTGATCTGGTTTTACAGTTCATCCCATAAGTATTACAAAAAGGGCAATCCTTCAATTTTTGATGCCATATAAAAAAACCTCAAGAAATATGAAAACTTCTTTAGATAAGAAATCTATCAAAACTACACCATTTTTTTTGTCCTACAACAAACTTGTGATCAATAGTTTTTAGCAAAACAAAATTCGTTCGACAACACTTTGAAAATATATATTTTTTAAATTATACCCTAGCAGTATGCAAAAACTAAGCCATTTGTTTTAGATCGACAATATTTTGGTTTTTTCCACGATGCACAGAACCCAAAACATAAAGGGGTATTAGAAACTGTTTGTAGTAACTACAGGCCAATTTCGTTGCTAATTCTTCTAAGCGAAAACTTCGAAAAAAAATTGTACCAGAATAACTGAGTTTGTCGAAAAAAAAAAGTTATAATAACACCCCGACAATTGGTTACTGAAGTAAGAGGTCAACCGTAGGAGTGATATAAGGGGATGCAGAAAACGTGAGTTATAGACTCACAAACAACTTGATTGTTGCATGTACGTTCGTAGATCTTTCAAAAGCATTTGATACGGTAGATCATCCATTTTTTTCAAAAATTGTCATGCAGATGGCTCAAAATATCCGATCCTAAAAACTTTAAAGTCTTTCCTCGCAAACATATATCAAACATATTGGGCATTTCATAATAACCAATCAAAACAGTAGAAATTACTTTCGAGGGTTTCACAGGAACTTGTTTTAGACCATTCGCTGTTTTGTATGTAAATGATCTGCCTAGTGTTTGTTCAAGCAGTTGTATGACAGTTTTTGCTGACAATACAAATATTTTACCCCCGATTTTTTCAGCTGCTCAAAATTGAGTCACCCTTTGCAGAAAGTATTAGAAGAGAAAACGAACAATTGAAACATAGCAACTGAAAAAAAAAGAAATAAAAAATTAGCGAGAAGAATAACAACAAGACTGCTCGCATCACTGCGAAGCCCTGAAGGTTCCGACTGCCTTTCAAGGTTTATGGAGCAGTAAAAATATTTCAAAAAAATTGAATCAAATAGAATGAAATGAAAAAATTTTTGTTCTAAAATTTGAAAATTTCTTTGAAAATCATCCCCCCACACGCCATTTTAAGTACACAAAGATAGAATTTGCTCCTTGTAACAAATCACTTATGGCGTATAAGTTTCTTTCAACCAATTTGGAACGAGTTCTAAGAGAGATTAACTCTCCGCTTACGCGTTAATATTACGATATATATCGCGCGTTAATTGTCCCAAATTGGCCAAAATGGCAATCTTTAAACCCCCGTAACTTTAAGAAAATGGTTACAGGTAAAATATCTTTTCAAATTCGAGCTCAAGAATACAATACCTTTCGAATGATATAAAAAAATTCCGTCAAAAACCGCTAGTTAAAAAATCAAAATTTGTCTGAAGAAAAAAAAACCCACCCCGAGCACAAATATTCCGTTACTTTCGTATCGTAAGTTGAAACAATAACTTAACTGAACGAATAGTCGAAATGATAGATTCAAGGGAGTAGTCGAGCATTTAAAGGCTAAACTTCTTGCAATGATAGTCAGCAAACCGAAATTGTCCTTAAACTCAGCAATCGATATGTTCATTTGAAAACTTAGACTTCCTAACATTTTTGAAAAATCTTAGTCTCATACTTGTTTAACTTAGAAAAAGAACAGTCGATCATATCAAGCAATAGAGCACTTCAATGTGCGGAAAATGACGCAATTGAAGGCGGTTATGACTTCGAAATCCCACCGAAGAGAAAAGCTATCAAAATAACCCAACGTACAAGGCGAGAAACATCTAAACTAGGAACACTCTATCGGGTCCGTTCTCAAAAGGAGGTAATTGATTTAGAAAAACTGTTAATCGGAAATGGACAGTCCCACTTTAGACCATTAAAAGGCAAAGTTTTCAACTCAATGAAGCACACGGTAACTCTTGACAACGGACACATCTTGCGGAAGTTCGGCGCAGCATTCAGAATCCAGAACAGTCCTACTCCGAGAAAATTGATCTGGTTTTACAGTTAATCCCATAATTATTACGAAAAGGGCAATCCTTCAATTTTCGATGCGATATAAAAAAAACCTCAAGAAATATGAAAACTTCTTTAGATAAGAAATCTATCAAAACTACACCATTTTTTTGTCCTACAACAAACTTGTGATCAATAGTTTTTAGCAAAACAAAATTCGTTCGACAACACTTTGAAAATATATATTTTTTAAATTATACCCTAGCAGTATGCAAAAACTAAGTCATTTGATTTAGATCGACAATTTTTTGGTTTTTTTCCCGATGCACAGAACCCAAAACATAAAGCGGTATTCGAAAATGTTTGTAGTAACTACAGGCCAATTTCGTCGCTAATTCTTCTAAGCGAAGACTTCGAAAAAAATTGTATCAGAATAACTGAGTTTGTCAAAAAAAAAGAAGTTATAATAACACCCCGCCAATTGGTTACTGAAGTAAGAGGTCAACAGTAAGTGCGATATTAGAGGATGCAGAAAATGTGAGTTATAGACTCACAAACAACTTGATGGTTGCATGTACGTTCGTAGATCTTTCAAAAGCATTTGATACGGTAGATCATCCATTTTTTTTTCAAAAACTGTCATGCATATGGCTCAAAATATCCGATCCATAAAACTTCAAAGTCTTTCCTCGCAAATCAAACATATTGGGCATTTCATAATAACCAATCAAAACAGTAGAAATTACTTTCGAGGGTTTCACAGGAACTTGTTTCAGACCATTCGCTGTTTTGTATATAAATGATCTGCCTAATGTTTGTTCAAGCAGTTGTATGACAGTTTTTGCTGACGATACAAATATTTTACCCCCGATTTTGTCAGCTGCTCTAAATTGAGTCACGCTTTGCAGAAAATATTAGAAGAGAAAACGAACAGTTGAAGCATAGCAACGAAAAAAAAAGAAAAAAAAATCAGTTTCGAGAACCATACACACTACTCGACAAGAATCTTAAGTTAATTTTTTGGGGGAAATTTGAAAACAGGTGGATTCAAAGATTAACCCACTGAAACAAGTTTTTGAACCTACTTTGTTTCTATTTTCCAGTAAACACATGCGTTGCACAGAAAATATGCTAATATATTAATATACAAATACATATTAATAAAATACTTTATTCTTGAAGCGTCCTTGGCAGTCTCACTGCCTTTTGATGTCGTACCAAAAGTGCTTACAGTAAAAACGCTTGAAACGGTCTTAATTCATCATTCAAGATTTTGAGAAAAATTGTCGAGATCTCTGACTTTGTTAACAAAATTCGGTCTCTTCTCATCCTTTTTTCACCTTTTTCCTCTTTCAGTTGCCTTGTAATCAGCAAGATGAATAAAACTTTAATCCATTATTCTCTATATTATTTATTTTTTGCTGATCTTTTTTCTCAGAAATTTAGTCAGAAATTTATGTTAAGTTGCGCAAAAAACCTTCCTTTGCTCCATTTGGATAATGTTTTCCAATCGTTGCATTTAAAATGGCTGTTTTGTAGGCTGTTAAACTAATTTGCCCATGAATTCATAGAAAATTAAAGTCGAAGAAATTAAACTTGAGTAATTTAATTGCACATGCTTCAAGGACTGCCTAACTCGTTTTAGGTACAGTTAACTGCGATCCAGATGCAAACGACTTCCTCAAAGTGTGCATCAAAAGCAAAGCCTCATTTCAGTCTGATGTCTGGTTACAGCTGGCACTGAAGCTCTTCTGGAGTGATAAATGTCTGGATTATGGGATGAAGACTATTCGACTTGACAATTTGATTGCGAGCGGATATATGATAGTCGAAGCACGAATCGGGTAATTGCTTTGCCTTAACGTGCTGATTTAGAATAACCATAAAAATTGAGTATAACAAAAAGTCTCATGATTTCAGATATTCATGTCAACATGTTTTTCTCATAATAATTTTCACCTTGGACAAAAAACAGAAAAAAAAACTTGCTCAATCTTTTTTTGTCTGAACTAACCAAATTTGAGAAAAAAATTGTTTTCAACTTTTAGTGAATTTGCTCATTTTGGCCTATCAGCTAAAAATTGTTTTTTAAAGTAATAAATTGCAAACTCTTTGTAAACTGTAATAAATTGTAAACTCGTTCGAGCTAAGTATGATTTGAAAATTCAAAAATTTCAAAAGAAAGGTTAAAGTTGTAACAATCTAATTAAAAAGTTTCATTTCATTGCTATGTCGTTCCGCGTGGATGCCATGTCACTCTAATTTGATTGCTTTTCTGTAAGGTTTGATTTTTCTAATCATATTCATGAATATATAAGAAAACATATAATTTCTTCATTATACATGCTTTTGTTTTTTAGAGGCATCAACCCCAAAATCGATAATCCTAATGGTCAAAACCAACTGAATTTTGGCTTCAACATCACGCTGTCTGTTAAACCAGAAAACTGGGTCATCGGTAAGTTCAACTGTCAAAGTTTCCAGATTAAGCACAGGGAGTCGCATTCAATTTTTAGCTTTCAGTGTGAAATCAACGTTGTCATGAATTCTTCAGACAATAACTGCTTATCATTTCAATCACCACAACCTCCCCCCCCCCCCTTCGACTTGCCATAAAATTAGTAATTACCCCAATCTTCAGAATATAAAAGCACTTTTCCCTTTTTCAAAAACTTAGCTATGCTTTCTTCACATTTTTTTTTCTTTTGCGGCATTTAAGGGGGATATTTTGAGGGGGTGTTTCGATGGAGGGGGATGGTTGAGTTGAAATTTTTGCCAGCAATTTTTGTTAGTTTACGCTTTCCCATTCATATGTTTTTGTTCCAATATATACGGTCTTTTGTTTTTAGATGAAGTTTCAGTGTCACGATGCAATATAATGTTTCTCGGTCTTAAAATTGGCTCTTACTGCGGTTTTATTGCACATGAGGTGGAGAAACATTTTCAACCCTACATCGATAACTGGAACAACTTCGAAGCTGATAAAGTAATCTCGATTCTGGAAAAGGCCACTAACAAATCCGTGGGTGATCCAGTTTCGATTCCAGTCAAAGTAGTGGACAAAGGGTGCGAAGGACGGCACGAGACTGGAGTCGGATTTGATCAGTTCGAGAATGACGACTTGAACAAAAAGAATCCAGATTTTGACTTAGAGATGTGGTTTTTCTCTTTTCAGCGACGACGCGAAAATTGAGCGTCAAAACAATTGAAATGGAGCACGACAGCCTTCGTTGATGTGAAAAATTAGATGATCGAAAACTTAAAACGTGTAAAGTACAGAATAACATATAAAAACTCAGACTTTTAAAACGCATATACGAATATCTAATCCTTAATTATGAAAAAAATTATATATCAAAAACCTTTGGATTATTATTTTGGAAAAAAATTGATTCTACTTAAAGAAAATATTTGCAATATTTATATAATAAAAAAGTGGACACCCAAGATTGGTGTTCGCAGTCTTTATAGACATTCGGCAAAAAATTTTCTGGATTCATTTGTACAAATATTATTGATACTTCTTCATCTTGCTCCGAATTTTGAAGAGAGTGGCGTAGTTATTGTGCTCGGGTGGTTTTTTACAGACAAATTTCGACTTTTTAACCAAACTCTTTTGAGAGGATACTGATATCATCTGGAAACTATTAAAATTCTAAGCTGAAATTATGGAACATTTCTCTTGTGATCAATTTTACATCACTATGAGGCTTATAGGATTTTAGAAGTTGTGATAATTAACGGACGATAAGTTTTGTGCTTTTAACGCGTAAGCGGCTATTTAATTCAGCTGGTTTTCCAAACTTGGTTTTTGAAATCTTTCTTTTTTTAAGTCGAACTCTACAATATAATCTTTAAAAAGCAGTCAGAAAACTAAGCAAGCCGCGCTGGTACGAGCTTTTATGTTCGTTATTGCAGAACTTTGTCCCATTGTAATTTTCAAACAAAATTAGAAAACAAAACACAATCGATGGAAGTTGTTAGTGCACTTTTTCTGCAACGGTAATGCTTTTTATTATATGTGGAACCGTGCGACAAAACAATCTGATTTGCAGTTCTCTAGGCATGGAAAAATGAGTTTTCTGTTTAAATTTTTCTAAAGCTCAAAACAAAACTGTAGGTTAGAAGTCCGAACTATCAGCTCCTAAAGACCCCTTTAGTTAGATGATAATTTGAAACATTTTCAAATCATGTTTTCAGTTTGTACTCTGTAAAAATGAAATATCAGCAAAAAATTCAAATTACGAGTACTAATATAAATAACGTTGAAAAGTTGCAGAAAAAAAACAAAAAAAAACGAGTTTTTTTGTCTGCTTTGATTTCTGATTTTTTTTTCAATATTGTTTTCCATTTTTAAGTTTTTGTTGCCAGAAAACTTGGTTTTTGTGTGTCGTCCTTTAATGCAAATGATGATCTAACTGTTTTTTTGTTGAAGTGAAAAAAAACTATATTTAGGACAAAATGGGCAATTTGAAGTTAAATGATTGTGTTCAGGATTGACGATTGAATTGTATTATATCAAAATTTTGGCACTACTAATTTACTCATGATTTGAACAACGCTATAGGAATTGTCATTACAAACAAGAACAAGAGCAAACCCCCGTCCCTGAGTTTGTAATTTTTTTTGGCAATCAATTTTTTTTGGTCTTGACTTTTTAATGAGCTAGAATTAGAAACAATCCACCAGAATCAGACTTTTAATTGAAAGGGCAGATGTTGCTAATCATTAAAAAAATTATTAGCAATAAAAACGCTGTTTGAAGATTTGAAAGTCATGTGTTATGTTTTTTACATGATATCCGACTGATTCGCCAAAAAAACGGAAAACATCAAATACTTGCTCGGTTACCTTTAAAGATTTTTCGTTACAGCATTGTGGCGAACTTTTTAAACTTGGTGTGGTTTAGTTTTTCCGAGTATTTTTGAGTTTCTAATCAACCGATCTGACAAAACTTCTGATTACTAGCTAAAAAATCAAAACTGCGATCAAATTTAAAAAGATATTTCATCTGTGACAATTTTTCGGGAAGTTAATTGTGTTTGAAAAAATGGGGATTTTTTATATGAACAAATTCCATTTTTCTATAAGTGTGTAGCAAATGCGGCAAAATATTTTTGGCTCAGAATTGTTTTCAAAGTAAATTGAGGCTAACTATTTGATTCCAGTAATTTGAGGATACACGCGGAATATTTGATTTTTTGCTTTTTATTAAGTGTAGATGGATCAATTTAAGTTCAATTTGGACACTCTAAAAACTGTTGGAGTATTTTGAGCTTCACCCCGATACGAACAGTCTTGTTAAGTGATGTTCCGCTAAAAGGAGTTCTCCGTGCAATGAAAACAACTTCAGCGATGTCTAACTCTAAGCATTTTACTCGGGGTATCAAAATCTCGCAATAGTTGATTTTGGTATGTTTTTAAATGATAGTTTATCAAAATATTCTATTCACCGACCTTAAGTAACATTAAAATCCATCTAATAATTTTCTTAAGAATTAAATTTCCACATGACACAAATTAAATTGTTTTATATTGCACCATTAATTGAAAAAAAGATGTCAGTATCTTGTGACTGAAATTGAGGCTAGTGGAATCAAAAATATCGGTCTTAGTACATTGTATTCGACTTTCTTTGATTGATTTCGCAGCTGTTGATAATAATCAGATTTACTTTTTTTGGACGCTTCAACCGGATGTTTGTATAATTTTTGATATTACATGAGGTTCTTTCAGTATTAAGACCAAAAATTCTTCAATGTAGCTGAGCGGCAGGACACTTTGAGCATTGGAATTCATTACATTTGAACTTAATTTTGAAAATTTTATGGACCGTTTTGGAATTTTTGTTAAGTTCAGATGTGAAAACAATCAAACTCAGTGATTCTCATATTTTGATTCTTTCTCTCATTTATTTTGGTGTGATTTTTCAACTTCCGCTCGTGAAATTTTCTTTTGTTCAGGACTTATCTTAGTTTTCTATCCTCGGTTCTTGTTTTTATTAGCAAGTGTTTTCAGGAGTTCCGTCATGCAACTCGACAATTGTGTCAACGAAAATTCCGCCCCAGCCCTTTCTTGCTTTTTTGGCCGCAGTTGTGCATGGCACTAATGTCGTTGTTATAGTTGGTGTCATTTTTGTTGTGGTAACGGTTGTAGCAACTATCGGTTTAGCTGTGGTTGATGTTGTTTTTGCTGTTATTTTTGTTTTCGGAGTCAATTTTGAAAGCAAGGTGGTTGATTTTGGAAAATTCGGTGTCGCTGCTGCTGTTGTTGCTTTTGCTTTGGTTTCCGATGTCTTTGTTGGTGAACTATCTGTTGCTACAGGTTGTGCGGTTCCATTTACATCCAAAATCTTCTGATCGTTTTGGGTCTCAGTTTGAGTTGATACTGTTGAAGATTTCATAGTCGTTAGCAAAGTATCGGTCGATTCAACCTTAGCTAAAAGTGGAAGCGGTAAAAATAACCAGTTAACCGAAGGTACGCTGTAAAAAATAGAATATGGAAAAACAAACAGTATTACCATCAGGGGCGGATTTAGGATTTTCTCGAGGAGGGTCGGATTTTCAAAAAATTTTCGAAAATTTTGTCGACCTTTTTTTTATTTGGTAGTCGACCAAACTGATGTTTCGACAAAGCACTGTTTTGTCCCTATTTTGGCCAAATTTTCTGCACCGCAGGCAAAATTTTGAAAAAATAGGCCAAAAAGGCGTTTTTAGGCATTTTTTGGAAAATTTTGAACGAAAAATTAGTATATATTGGCGCGCTCCCCCCCTCGCGCTCCCCCCCCCCCCCCCCTCGCGCTCCCCCCTCGCGCTCCCCCCCTCGCGCTCCCCCTCAAAATTAGTATATATTGGCGCCGAAGGCGCCTTTGGAAAAAAATTAAGGTTGGTCGGGCAAAACTGGATTTCTTAAAAGTACCTTTGTGTCGGCAGGGGGTCGAATATCTGAGAAAAAGAAACGTCCGCCACCCCCCACCCCCCCTAAATCCGCCCCTGATTACCATATATATTTATTGATTGTCAGAAACGAAGAATGTCAGAACAGCTTTCTTAATGCTGGACACAATTATGAGCAACGTCATTCAAACTTTGGGATCTACTTAACAATCCCCCCGCTATGTCTCTATACTAAAGAATTGCCGCCCCTATAAGTAAAAGTATTAGAGCGTTCCATTTATAATCCGATATTTAATGTATTCCGATTGGTAAAAATTTCAATTAACTTAATCTACTATTTACGCCCTCCCCCTTTCTCAACAGCGTGGCGGGGGGGGGGGGGGACCTCCGCATTGAGATGGACGAAAAATAGAGTCGATTTGATTTTCTTGAACGAACAATTTTTATTTTACTGCCAACTCAATTTGTTTTTTTTTGCAAATTGCCGAAAACAATCAAAAAGAAATAATGTGTCCCGCTTTTTACACATCTCGAGATGTGTTACACGTCATAGATCATTCCATTATGCTATATTTTGAGAATCAGTTGCTCGGTTGCGAAAATCTTATTGGGTTAACTGGTTAGCCGGTTAAATACTTCAAAACCAACTTTTAGCAGATTCGTCATCACTGTTCTGAGAATCGGCTGTCAAACTAGTTGGTCCGCTGATTTGTGACGGTTGTGTCGAACTAACACTACTTGAAGAATTTTCAGCGTCATTTTGAGCAAACGAGGTTGTGTTTTGATCAGTTAAGTCTTCGAATGAGTTTGACGAGTTATTCGACAAAGTGTCATTTTCCGTCGTCGAATTAGAATTTGACATATTATTTGTACCAGTTTCAGTCGTAGATTCAAAATTCATTGTAATGCTTTTTGTAGTCGGGTTTTCTAAGTTTGATTGGGCGGAACTAGATGATTCCAAAATATCTGTCGTCAATTGATTTTCAGTTATAATTACACTCGAAGTTGAACTTATTTCCGTTGTGAGTTGAGAACTACTATCCGATGAAGGCATTTGGTCAAAATTGTCAGGTTTTTCTAGATGTGTTATATCATTATTTGGTGTTGCAACAGTTGTTGTTGTTTGCAAACTTGTTGTCGGTTCGAAACTACTGCTGGACTTGCTTTTTGTCTGACTATTTTTGTCGCTTGTTTCACCATTACTTTCAGTTGCGTGAGATGATTGTTGATCTAATGGCAAAACTGTAGTTTTTTCAACAGCATTTGAAGCTTTTGTCTTATCCGGTTGCGATGTTGCTCTAACGGTTGGTTTTTTATTGGAGATTTCTAACGGGGAAATTGTGGTTATCATCAATTTAGCTGTTAATGTTGTTGACGATGATGTTATTTTTCTTGTTTCTGAAGACGTTTTGCTTCC